CTTTCTTTGCGTGAACATTTGGGCGGCGTTATGCAAATCTTCCCACATCGTGACGTAGACATGTGGGGGCGTGCTTAAACGAGGCATTTTAGGAGGGCGTGGACCAGTCTTAACTTTTATAAAGAATATTTCTTTGGGTTTGAGACTTTAGTCTTTGCAACTTTAGGGATCTTATCTATTCAGCAGCTTGTAACACTCCAAAGAGAAAGGAAAACTTGAAATCGCATCATATGACCCCTTTAAATACCATTCTACCTTTTATATCCTGGTGTAATGCATTTTATTCAGTATGTTAGTATAGTGCATCTCACAATGCATATTATTCCAAACCAGCGTTAGAAAGAATAGTGGCTTGCAAATCCCTATGAGAAAATGCAGTGAAAATTTGAAAATATCCATGCAATTAGGAGTTTCATGTGGGGGTGAAAAAGTTCCTCATGCAGATTTCTGCAAATTTTCTGTGCTGATGACACTAAAAGTTTTTAAAAATAACTTCCATGTGAGCAGTGGATGTATCTGTGGATAGTGGACCTGTTTTTGCATGCAAACTTTAGCTGATGTGACCTTTATACGCAATGTTGGGAGCACACTTGTGGTCCCTAAAAGGCTGTCCTGGTAAGCAGCACACTATGTTTTGGATCAGAGCTGTTTTATGTTGTGTTTCACCGTGTCTCAGCAGTTACCATCAGGAAACACCTTGTAAAAATTCCTGTTGTAAACAACACGTTCCCTTCTCTGCTCTTAGTATCTGATTTAGACCCACTAGATTGTTTCTACCTGTGATGTTGAGAATTTTACCATTTGTCTCTCCTATCAGATTGCATCTCTTGAGAAGGATCTTGTTGATCTGAAGTCTCCATCTAACAGTGATGTGGCCCAACTGCTGGATTCTTATCAAGAACAGGTATGTGGCAAAAACTGACGTGACCTTTTTTTTAAACTTTTACAACCTGAGTGTCTGCGGTTACACTGCACAGTGGTGTGCTTGTGTAAGCTGACACCATCGCCACAGTATACAACACTGATGGATTTGCTTTCAGTGCATCTTTATATAGTTACAAATCTTACACAAACGTGGAAGATTTTCTCACTTAAAAGGAACATTTCACCAGAAAAAAAAAGTCATTATTTACCCACCATGTGTTTTTCCAAACCTGTATGAATTTCCTTCCTCTGTGAAACAGAAAAGAAGGTTAAAAAGTGTTTGTGTCCAAATGACATTGCCTCTCATTGACAAAAAAATTAGAGAAAAAGTCATACAATTAGAATTACACTACTTTCAAAATTTTGGGGTCATTTTTTTTTATTAATACTTTTCTTCAGCACAGATGCATTAAAAATTATAATAAAGACATCTATAAAAAATTCTACTTCAAAAAATCCTGAAAAAAGATATCCTGGTTTCTTCGAACATATTAAGCAGCACAACTATTTTAACATTGATAATAATAAGAAATGTTTCCTGAGCACCAAATCAACATTTGGAATGATTTTTGAAGGATCATGTGACTGAAGACTGCAGAAATTGCTACTAAAAATTCAGCTTTGCCATCAAAGAAATAAATCACATTTGAAAATATATTAAAATGGAGAACAGTTATTTTAAATTGTAATAATATTTCACAATATTCACAATAACTTTTACTGTATTGTAAAATCTACTTGATTTTGATGAGCAAAAAAGACTTATTTTAAAAACAATGTTACAGACCCAAACTTTTGAACAATAGTGTATAACAATAATTTTATTATAATGCAGTAATGTTATATATATATATATATATATATATATATATATATTTGTTTACACTTTATTTTAAGGTGTCACTGTTACAGTGTAATTACACATTTAAGTACTGAGTAATATTAATTAACTACATGTACTTACTATATGGTTAGGGTAGGATTAGGATTAATTGTTATTATAATAGTAAGTACATGTAATATGTGTGAAAGGACACCTTAAAATAAAGTGTTACGAAAAATGTAATAATATATAATAGGGCTGTGCGATATTGAAGAAAAATGCGATATGCGATAACTCATTCAATAATGCGATATTCGATATGCGATACGATAATGCTTAAAGTGCCACATGCTCAGATGAAACAGTTTTACTCAGCTGTTGCTGAGTCAGTTCTGTGAACTTCTATAACTATCTTGTGTCATATATATATATATGGTTATTTGTATGTATGTATGCGTGTACCAAGAGTTCCTGTAAAACCACAACAAATTCCTTGTGTTTGCGCACACTTAAGTGGTAAAAAAAAGCTCATTCTGATTCTAATAAGAAAGCACCCCTACAACAACTTCTGAAAGTGAACGGTATGTGTTTTACTCGAGCATTACGTAAAAGCAGTAATTTTATATATATATATATATATATATATATATATATATTTGTTTACACTTTATTTTAAGGTGTCACTGTTACAGTGTAATTACACACTTAAGTACTGAGTAATATTAATTAACTACATGTACTTACTATATGGTTAGGGTAGGATTAGGATTAATTGTTATTATAATAGTAAGTACATGTAATATGTGTGAAAGGACACCTTAAAATAAAGTGTTACGAAAAATGTAATAATATATAATAGGGCTGTGCGATATTGAAGAAAAATGCGATATGCGATAACTCATTCAATAATGCGATATTCGATATGCGATACGATAATGCTTAAAGTGCCACATGCTCAGATGAAACAGTTTTACTCAGCTGTTGCTGAGTCAGTTCTGTGAACTTCTATATCTATCTTGTCATATATATATGGTTATTTGTATGTATGTACCAAGAGTTCCTGTAAAACCACAACAAATTCCTTGTGTTTGCGCACACTTAAGTAACTATCTTGTGTCATATATATATGGTTATTTGTTTGTATGTATGTATGTACCAAGAGTTCCTGTAAAACCACAACAAATTCCTTGTGTTTGCGCACACTTAAGTGGTAAAAAAAAGCTCATTCTGATTCTAATAAGAAAGCACCCCTACAACAACTTCTGAAAGTGAACGGTATGTGTTTTACTCGAGCATTACCTAAAAATGTCATTTTAACATTAGTGTAATCATTTTAACATGAGTTTAGGAACTGAATAATAAAAAGGAAAAATAAAACACTGCTTAGTATTTCCTCTTTGAATTCAATATGCACTGATTCTTATTTAAGCTACAAAAGTTATTTAGGTAAGAGCAGTGAGTGATTTTCTCTTTGTCTTTTGTTCATGGCCCCAAATATTGCAAGCTGTAGCGATATGCATATTGCGATATGTACATTTGCGATATTTCGATAATTTCAATATATTGCACAGCCCTAATATATAAATTACATAATATATAAATATTATATAATTTTTATAATCGTATAATAATTATATCTTTATTGTTGTTATTTTTATTGTTATTACTATTATTATATAGTTTAGAAAAATGTGACAAGAACCTATGGACCCTGGTTTCAGCGAGCTATAATGAACATGAAGTTCGTTTCAGTGAGAGTATTCCCAAGACCGTCCAAACGCTCAAAGTCCTCTGCTGTGTTTTACTATATTCATTATACTCATTATGACTTTATGATCATTATGACTATGGTATGGATTTATGGCCGTTGGTGCTTAATGCTGCGAAGTTGTGTGTGCTGAACAGGAGTGTCTAAGTGAAGATTATTGTGACTCATACAGTCTTTACGTCACAAAGCTTTCCAGAAATCCTTGGGAAGGAGGGACTGATAACACGTGGCTTTCATGTTCCGGACAAACTGCTTTCACAGACCCTTCCCAGACCTCTTTTGAGCATTTATTTTATTTTATTCTCTTTTAATATCAACAAGTCTTGATATTAGCCTAATTTAAAATTGAAAAAAAAAAAAGAATTATTTAGAGGTAGTCTTTGCATTATGATATGGCACTAATGATGTTATTTATGTCTGGCAATGATCCTGCTTCAAAGAGAGTTTTATCTACAGCAGCTGTCACTAAACCATAAAACCATACACACATCAGCTTTGTTCATCAAGGTTGCACTTTAAAGCCTGTAGTAGGGCTGCACGATTAATCGAATGCGATTGTCATGCGCATTTTGTTAGTAAAGCCAGTTCTGTAATCAGCAGTAAATCATCACGTGCTTTCAGATGGAGCAGCATTTACTACACAGAGCCGTAGTTCACTGACAAGTTACTTGCGCGATTATGAAATCAAAGAAATCGTTCGCGATAATGGCAGCTGTTTGCATAGCTTCTCAGTGAACTACGGCTCTGTGAAGTAAATGCTGCTCCATCTGAAAGCATGTGAAAAT